CACCCTCCAAACCAATATCCGTAGTTGAGCAAGATCCCGCGATTATTCAGTCGATTCGTACCGCCTCTGTACCACGCCCAGCAACTACCCGAGGGGGGCCGATCATTGGTGCTGAGTGGGTGCCAAGTATGGGTGCTCGTCATCACGCATTTAATGGCAGAACGGAGCAGCCGCCTGCTAGGGTAGAAGATTCCGGACCCGGGAATAGACATTTAGCTATTATGGAGAATCCCGGGATACCACCACCTGGAGGAATTCCTGGAAGGGAGAGCAGGGATGTAGAAGAGGCAATCGAGATGAGTATTGAGGAGAGTAGCGAACTGGTAGATGCCAGCATGGAACTGGAGTAACGTGCTTTGTCGAAGGCGAAGGGCCCTCGACTGTGGATGAGCAGGTGTAGCAGTTATTGGGCACGCTGATTACATAATCAAGAACGTCATGTTTGGAAGAAACCCATTCCAGAAGGGTGATTATATTGGAAATAGGAAAGGCTTGATAACGTACACAACATTCCATACAGTAAAAGAGAAGTATACAGCAAACAAAGAACTGAGCTAAGTCGTGAAAGTATAACAACTATAGAACAATCGTACACATAAACAAGTTACAGGATACCAGAGGCACAAACACAATGATTAGACCCAGAAACACAACGAACATGCACATGAGAGTAAATGGTTCTTAGGCAAATTCCGTATCTCCACCTAATAGAAATGGCTTGTCAAGAAACGCACGTTCAAATCGGCTAAAAGCAGGTCTCAGTAAGTGGTCTCAAGGTCACGACGCGTACGCACCTTCGTGACCAATTAGAATATCGAGACTTTGGCCTTTCGTTCGCCCAACTGTTCCTCAAACGCACGTTTCCCGGCCCCAACCGCGCCTTCCCAGGCTTCAAATACTTCGAATTCCTCCTCGGCTGTGGAAAGGTACGACGAACGGTGTTTACGACCGCGGGCCCACACTGAAATGAAAAGTATTTTCTTTTCTTTCTTATGGAAGAAGAACCAGTAAGAGGACCATAACAACCCGCCGTTGGAACTCCGACGTTTGTGAAATACGGGTGCACGAATAGGGACGCTACGGATAGGTGATCCCGAGTATGAGGATGATGTTCTTGAACCATCAGAAGAGCTCGAATCCCGTTGCTTAGCGGTAAAAGGATGATAGAAAGCCGCGCCATCGTAATAATCATCCAATCCTTGCTCAAATATGGAGTCTGAATCGGAAAAGTCATCTTCGCCGTTGTCCGAATCAAGCACCCCTTCGGAATCTGAGTCCCCGTCACTACCGGCGTGAGGGTCGGAAGCTGGATCGGGGTTGTATGAATAAACCTCGCATTCTGAAAGCGTGACAACACCGTTGAGGATGCGGAAGAGAGTTGGATGTGTATTCGCGATGACGGGAGGGGCGTTACGCATCATAAGACTGGTGAGATTGCTGGTGGGCCGCAGAATCGGAGAAGAGGAAGCGGAGCTGGATACACGTTTGGGGAAGATATCTTCGGCATTGTTTGTGATGGGGAAAGAGGAGTATGAACGGGAAGTGAAGTACTTCCCGTCATTCCGTGACGACGCTGGAGAGTCTCGAAGTGAGGCAAAGGTGTTGGAAAGTGAAGTCAGAACGGGCACGCCCCCATTGGGCTCCCTTGTGAAATGATCCGGATTGACGTTGGAGAAGTCATAATCTGGAAACGCGACGTTGAGGAGGTTGACGAGAAGAAAATAGGTTCGGCGTGAACGGCGGCCATCAAGCGGTCCGAACGCGCTGTCGAGGGGAGAACCGTACTCCGGAGGCATTTGCATCGAATTAGGATCGTTGAGCGCGCTCAATTCTTCCTCGAAATGTTCATCAATTGCTTTCCACAACTTCTTGTCTTTGGTAGTAGCTTTGCAGGTGTATGCTTCGATGCGAGTGTAAACGTTACACTCCGCAGACGAGTGCGAAAGCGAGCTTGAAAGTAATGTAAGGTTAGGATCGGGAACGTACTTCATGGTTGAAAGCGAAGGAATAGCTTGGGAGGCGGTCAGAACGATGGGGCTTGGGCATGCTGCATTAATCGCCCCCGATGTCAATATAAGCAAACACTAACTAGCCAAGTCATAGGCGAGAATGGCCACTATTTCACAGATTACAAGGAAGGGGAGGATTCAGTACATCCTCGAGGAGATGCTGAAGCAGAGGATATCGCCGAGATCGACGGATAATGAGACGATCAACAACATTGCTGCCACTGAGCTGGAGTCGAAAATTTTGTGGAAGCTCAGGAAAAGATGATAAGCGCAAGACACGCGAGACGGGGCACTTCAAGAGGGTCCCCAAGGTCATGGAAGAACCCAGAGGCTGACAACAAGAGCAAAAGAAGGGAAACAAGCGAACCCGATGTGTAAGGACAGATCTTTCCAGATGCGGATTCAGATTGCCAAAACCACTGGCTCTCGGTCCCGACCCAAACTCACCACAACAAGAGATCATCGATCGCTCTGTCTCAATCTTCGTCTGAAAATTATGGTCTACTCGAATATTGAGCCTTATGAGACTGGCTTCCTAAAGGTCTCGGACATTCATACACTATAGTGAGCCAGCCACGCGTAGTGGGTCCCTGGCGTGCGTAGTGCACAAGATTGATCTCACAGATTCACCTTGGTATTGACTAATAGCTATGAAGTCAGTGGAAACAAAGAAGGGAACCCAGGTGGGTAGCTGTTCCTAGACTGCACGCACGGGATATTCGTAATATATCTTGTTTCTAGTTATATTCCTCCACGGTAAAGTTCTTGCCATTCTCCATGAATTGAAAATCTGCTGTCTAAATCATGATCCCAAACTCACGATAAGGCGGTCCTGGGGGTGGAACATCTCCAAAGGACAGAATTTTCTTCAACCCAAAGAAATATAAAATCATCTTATTGGATCAGCGAGGCGCAGGAAAATCCACCCCGAGTGCATCCCTTGAAGAGAATACGACTTGGGATCTTGTGGAAGATATCGAACGTCTTAGAAAGCATTTAAAGGTCGATAGATGGGTCGTTTTCGGGGGCTCGTGGGTACGTGACAGCCCGATCTGTGACTCGTGGAACGACCCACAATTTTCCATGCAGGGATCAACTCTCTCGCTAGCCTATGCTCAAGTGAGCCTTAGATGGCTGTGGGATGGATCAATACTTACGCCCTTAAATATGTTGCAGGCGCATCCCGATCCTGTGAAGGCTCTCATATTGAGGTCAGGTCACACATTTAACAAATACCTCTGGCTAATGTTGGGATACAGGGGTATCTTTACCCTACGAAAGAGCGAAGTATGTGCCACGCCTCCCTCATCATGAAAGAACCATTAAGTTTACCAAAAAAAAACAGCTCGATTTCTTCTATCAGGAAGGTACAAGCCATCTTTTCCCCGAGGAATGGTACGTCCGATCCCATACCACTAGGACCCAAGGTATTTGGTTGGGTGACAATAACTCGCCCACCTTTTCAGGGACGATTACCTCGCCCCCATCCCAGAGGGTGAACGCGGCGACTTGGTCAAGGCGTACCATAAGCTTCTCAATTCCGCTGACGAGCAAACAAGGCTGTCCGCTGCGCGTGCATGGTCTAAATGGGAGTAAGTATATCCGTCTTGTCCCCCCCCCAGTTTGGAAGAGACAACGCCGAAGTCACCGGCATTCCCTCCCTCGTCAGGATGGCTACGTCGAAACTCAAAGCCGACCCGGATGATATCGCACGCGCCACAAAGGACGATTGGGCAAAGTGAGGCTTTCCGTGATTTGCTAACAAGTCTCCTGATGCATGTTGGATTTTCTTCTGAAAATTCCAGTGCTTTTGCTCGGATTGAGAATCACTATTTCATCAACGAAGTAAGCGTCGGCAATACTCCCTGGATTTGCTGCTCATTCTTCGTTCCTCGGCTGATAGGGCTTCATGAGGCAAGGACAACTACTGGAGCAGCAATCGATCGATAAAATGTGAGCCGAGATCGATGTTCATCGAATCACATAGGATAACGCTGTCGAATTGGACTAGTCGCCATATCCCATGTGTTGTAGTCCAAGGTGAAGTACCGCTGCATTACTGGGGATGATATTTGTCTTTAACTTCGCACATCTAATCCAGGTCGTTATGATGTACGTGCCAATTGTGCCCGTTGTCTGTCATGGAGGCTTTAATCTCTTCCTTCACTTCATTCGGGCTAACCATTACCGAATCTTGTAGGTTGTTTGTCCGGTAAGTCTCGCGTGCTCCTTCGGGACTTTGTCTCAAGTACCCATCTATCGTAATCCCAACCTTTTCCGCCTGCCTCTGCGGTATGGGACAAACGACGGTTTCCAAAGGCGAGGAGTGCATATGATCTGAAGAAGGCCTGGCCGGAGTTGAAACTTCAAATCACACACGCTGGTCATTCTGTCCGGGAACAAGAAACTACACAGAAGCTCGTAGAAGTGGGTGTTCTTCTGACTATTTTGATTGATATGAAAGCTTGTGCTCATCTGCCACTCGTGAATTGGCAGGCTACAGATCATTTTAGCGAATTATAAAATCCAGGGCCGTGTCTCGAACCCTGCGGCTGTGGTCTAGCTAGGACGTTGGTGATGGACAACAGGTATGTGCGAGCACAAGGGATGGGTGGGAAAAGCGAGGATTAAAGTCATTGTACATATGTTGTAAATACTGATACAGATGAACCAGGCAATATGAATGCCGAGGGCCAAAAGAAAAAAAAAGGTGTATGAAAAATGACGAAAACGAGGAATCTATGATGAAGTGTACGTTGGGGGTTGTTAGGCCTGTTGCTTGAATTCCCAGGAGGATGGAGTGTGCGTTGAATTACAATAGTAGTTGTTTATTGATACCTGTTTTGACGCCCCTGCCAAACCCGCCAAACTCACCACATGCAGCATTGGCTTTTCGAGCTGCGCCTCCATCTGTGCTCATTGAGCTTCATCTCATCTTTCGCGATATAAGCCCACATTGTCTGCAACTCAGTTGGAGTACATCGTCTGCTGATGCCCCGCTCCTTGTCGCGCCGGAGTAAGGGTGATCCCAACACTGGCTCATCTCGAGACCCACTCGGAACCCGTGAGTCCGCAGCACCCGGAGGTCAACGTTACCTCGTATTCATAGATTCCAGGCCGCTACCCCATTACCAGGACTCTAAACGCGAAGAACATCCTCGTTCAAGAGACAGTTGGGCCCCATGCGATCCACAACTCGAAGAACAAGGGCGTAACTCTTACCAGGCGGAAAATTTCACCAAATTCTCCTACTCCACGAAGTTCCCTGGTTGTCGAGTCCTTGTCTTCTCAGGCAGCGTCATCCCCAAAGGCTCCGCCAGCTGCATACAGTGAAGTGAAGTTATCAGATTTTGCTGCCGCAGTTTTCGATATTCCCCCCAAATCTGTTAATCTAAAGGATGTCGCTCGCAACCTTGCCACATCCTCGGATTATGAATCCACGTGCCGACGCTTCCTCTCCTCTTTGGAATCGACGTCGTCCAGTACCGAATCAGACACGATCGAGGAGGGTTTCATCGATGTGCTCAAGCTCATCTGCCGTCAATGTGATCCGTTAGGTCTTCCAGGTGCCTCTGACTTCAATCCTTTCGCCCATCCCGCATACGATAAGGAGGACTCAGAGCAGTCAACTGAAGACCAGTTTGTCCTAATGGGTATGCGGAGAGGTCCACTCATGGACACTTGGAGCTGGGCAGATCTCCTTGTTGCAATTGATACACAACCGGCCGATTCTTCATTTGGTTCACACACCTGTCAGCAGTCAGCAGTCAAGCATCCGGTCTTGTCTCGGGAAAATGGTTCAAGCATTGATACCAAGTCGCATCAGGACCAATCCGATTCGCCGTACACTCTTCCTTCATGCGCTTCTCGCTTGCGCCGGTATGCCGAATTAGTCATGACTGCCAAGGGCAACAGAAGGCATGTGATTGGACTCTTGGCAACAGGTTCGAACATATCCTTCTGGTACTTTGACCGCGGGGGTGGATTCTACTCCACCCCTGTCAACTTGTTGACCGATGCTGTCGAGATCATATCAGCAGTGATGCAACTTGCGCTGAGCGGACCCATCTCATTCGGCTTAGAGCCATTCATTCAGTCGTCATCGTCCTGGGAAGCCTTTGAGTCTGTTGAAGGCTCGTGCGTGGTTGTTGATGGTATTCGATTCCGTTTGTGCAAAACGCTTCACGTTGCTCGTGAATTGGAGGGCCGCGGGACGGTCGTCTTCGCGGCTCAAAAGATAGCAGATTCTGCGCGGGCAGATGGCCGCAGTACAATCATCCCTCATGATGTCATAATCAAATTCTCCTGGCAGGACGCATCTGCACCTTTCGAGGATCTGCTCTTCAGGAGAGCTCAAGAATGTGCGGTTGAAGGCATTGCGAAACTCTATTGCTCATCCCGGCCCGCGCGCCTCTCCACTGGCCCCCGACGTGCTCTCAGGCTTATTGCTGGCATTGATTATCACGACCGAGAACTGAGAGTGCAAGTAATGGGTCCCCTCTGCATCCCTCTCTATCGCGTCAAAGAGCTCGATGTGTTCAAGCTGGCTTTCCGTTCGTTAATCGAAGGTAGTATCATTCGCATTCACACCTGTATCCCATCTCACTACTTCCAGCCCACAGGAGCCTTTACGAAAGGGCAGGCATTCTTCACCACGATATCAGCATCAATAACTTAATGGTTGAGAAGGATAACGAAGTGAAAGGCGTCTTGATCGATCTTGACCTCGCGATCATAATCAAGGGAGGCGATGCACTTCAATCACAGCGTTCAACATTGGCAGGCACTCTTCCATTCCTTTCCGTGGATTTTCTAGAGGGTACTCCACCAGAACGTCCCATGTACCGGCACGACTTGGAGTCCTTCGTCTTTGTCCTTGCATGGATCCTCATTCGTTTCGACGAAGAAGGTGAGGAGGCAGATCATGATCAACTCCGGACTTGGTATACTGGAGGGCGTGATCAGATGAAACATGCAAAATTTGGTTTCTTTCGACGCTCTTTCGATCTCCCAATCGGTCGATTCCCGTCACTTGGGGTGCTCTGGCTAAGTAAACTTTGTCGAAATTTTCACCTTGGCTACTCGTTGAGGGATCGCATGGGCAATACTGATTTTGACCACGAGACTCTCGGCGGCTATGTGACTCATAGCTCATTTTTGGATGTATTGCACTAAGTAGGTGTTGTAAGCAAACATGCTTGAAACGTTTCCCAAGTTACGACTCCTCCGGCTGATTCCCTGTCAAACATTACCCCCTCCCCCTTGCCCGTGTGTCTAAGTTCTTGGTCCTGGCTTACATTATCGAATGCCTGTGAAAAGAGCTCTGCAAGATGCATCAGAACCTGTTTGGCATCCTTCATGTTCTCCGTCAAATTCGTTGATCGCACGGCTCCAACCCTCATGTATCCGTCCTTGGCAATGCGTATATCCCGCCATGATCCACTATACCAGCTTCTGAGCTGATCCGTCTTTACCTGTTCCCCATTGAGGTATGAATGCGCAATCCACCATAAGCTCCAGAAAAATGACTCTAAGTCATAGCGATAAAGAGCAAGTGGTGGTGCATCGGACAGCAGCTCCATGGCAAGAAATGGTGTCGCCATTGTTCTATGAGTTCGGATGCGGTCGTCCGTAACCACTTCTTCCCCTTCCCCGTCCCTCCCAGAGGCCACAACTACGGCGAAGTCGTAATCGATGAGGAAAGGAACAAAATTTCCGTCCGATTCCTTTTTGACCATTAGGTTCTCTGGGTTAATGTCTCGATGAAGAATCTGAGCTTTGAGATAAACGTCCCGATGAACTAGACCAAATATGGTGAAAACACAGATGGGAGATGAGCGGAGAGGACTTTACCATTAATCAAACCCTTGAACAACTCGAAAAACATAGTCCATTCCCCAATGGTTGTCAAATGCTCAAGGCGAGGCTTCATAATGATCGCGCGATAAATCCGGTCATCTGTGTCGCTACTCAATCCCATGATTGCCTGGACTCTCCCGTGCATCCCATCCCGCATTCTTGCCAAGTCCTCGGAAGACACAACATACGGCACACCTGGTACCTCTCTTTCACGTAAGCGTCTCAGAATATCGACTTCGGATCTTCGATCTTTGAGCTGCCAAGAAAGCTTGATCACAAGACCCCCTGGGACAGACTTGGATCCTGATGTTTGGTCCTCCGTCGCCTCCACCTTAAAAACTGCCGTTCCTGTGACCTGGTAGGTTTATTGTATTACTTTAGCATCCAAATGCACTTTTACTTGCCTCTTCCAGTCAAGGATCGCAGCCTTCCTAGTTTCTCGTCTTCCACTACATACTCTGTTCCATTGACCGGTATACGCGCACCTTCAGCCTTTATCAGTATTGAGGATCCTAAGCCAGTCCCGGCGTTGAATGGCGGCCTTATGTTTGGCTCAAAACCTAACTGCTCCGCCGAGGCACTGCCGATGGCAAGAAGTAGAATAGCTAGAGGTTCCCAGTTATCCCTAAATGAGAGCGGCGTGGACCCATATCCTGCAGAACGATCATAATACCAAAACTCGACTGATAACGAATTCACCCAGAGGCCTAGAACGTGACGGCGGATGCCACGCGCGGAAAACATCTCTATTGCATAAGCTGCAAGTTGCTCTTGCAGTTCGGGCGAATTTCCAGTGCGGAACGTTGCCACCTCTGACCGCATCGAATCTCCAACGGTCGCAGATTGTGAACGTAATGAGTCGTCACCCTTACGTACCCGAAATCCTACCTGAGGCTTTGATTTTCCAGATTTGGTTTTTTTCTGAGCACCTCCTTGACCCATCCTTTTCTTGTCGTACTTAAACTCCATACATACAACAACCTTTTCCGCGGGAGTTGAGGCACAGCTCGCCGAGGATCGGCCAAACCGCTTACCTTCGACCAGGGGAAATCTTTGATATCAATGGTAACTAGATCCTCTCCAGCAGTGATATGGCCGTTATAGATCATCACTATGTCAGGTCTTAATTCGATAATGTGAGCGAATGCGATTTAGGAGCGAGACGATGTCACTGACTTTCGCTTGGGGTCACTCTTGCCAGGACGATCATTCGGTCGAGGCTGCGAAGACGTGTCTATGAAGCAAAATGGTAGTTCTGCAAGCCGAAATAATTCGTTTGCAAAATCCCGAAAAGGAGCGTATAAGCCGGGTTCACCCCCGGCTTTCATGTATGTCTGTACGTGATCGTGGAGAGTGGAGAGTGCACCCGGAATAGGTTTGACGCGCTGTGCAAAGATCTCCCTGGCAGTTCCGACGCAGCCTCCCAATACGACCGCCACGAGCATATCATAGTTCACACCAAGATTCATTCGCCTGTAGTCTTCCCTTTGAACGACTTATTAGCAAGCCCTCACAAGAAGCTGATCGTTTGACCCCAACCTTAGGTAGGGCAGCTCGTGCTTGTAAGTTGCCAAGGAACGGTGGGCCCAGGTGGACGTGTCCCCAAGCCCTCCTCTGATGAGCGAGTCTTCGTTCAGTGCTAAACAAATATTAGTGGCTTTTCTGCTTGGGGCCTTGGATTACGTACCTGGTTGAGTCTTCTGCTTTATTGAGGGTGGAGTTAGAGCTTTGGTTGACGGCTCATCGTCTAAGCCTGTGGCATCGAGTCTCCTCTTGATACTAGATATTCCAGCGCTCGATGTGCCACTAGCTGGTTTCGCTAAGCCTTGGACGCGCAGTGGCACGCTCTTGTCTCCCTGAGACATCGAAGGGACTCTCTGCGAACCTCAGAGCTGATTCGGCTCATATAAGGGCCCAAGATCTTGGTCGATCATCACAGCTATGGCAATCGATCGCTTATGAAAGGCACATCGATGTCAAGTTTCGAAGCGTCGCGCTTCGCCCCATCCATTGTGAGGCGCCGCAAGAGTGGCTCGATCAAGTGCCGTGAGCTTCTTTGTTCCTACTAGTCCATCCGCTCAGATTTAGGGATTTCTTACGATGGCTTGTTCACAGGATCGTTTTCTGTCTCACAGAAGCCTCTGCCTCAACATCAATAGGCAGATCATCCTAAAATGGAACCAATTTCAATGTGCACTCGCCGGTCCTGCAAACCCTTGGAGTAGGGTTAATGGCGTGCTGCCTTGCACGCCAGTGCAAGACGCTGGAACACTGCACTGCATACACAAAGTAAGGCCGCGCAAACTTACTGGGAAAGCATGACTAACAATCCAGCTTCAGGCTTCAGCGACCCCAATGCCCGTCATTCACTGGAGGAATCACCATCTCGGCCGCATTGAGCGCTTGTGCTTGGATACAGTTACTAGCACTACTAACGATCAAGGTCATGGCAAATCCTACAGTGTTTGCGTCCCATTATCCAAATCGAACGGCTCAGATATTTTCATTCGAAACCCGATGCCTCGGACGAGGGCGAGTCACTACAGTACACATTGAGTGCATTGACGCGGGTGTGAGTGGCGAGACACAGCCACGTTTCCTTAACAGCAACAAATACGTACTTGCACATCCTCGCTCGAGTTTGGAAGTGATGATTGTTCCCTGAGTGGAGAAGAATGTAGCTCAGAAATGGGGAGTCAGTCGCAGAGGCCCTCTCTGGTAAGATGCCAGTAGAGTGGAACTGCGACCCACTTAAACGGGCATCCTCAAAGTCGCGATTGATATGGCGTGTAATTGGCATGAAGGGTTCAGGTGGAGTGTTTATACAACATACGTGCGTTATTCGATTATCAACAAGTGCAAGGACCAAATAATTCATAATCGGCGAAAGGGTTGATGTAAAAGGAGATGTTGTGGCAATTGACGCGGGACCGACCAGTTCCTCGTGCGGTTTACACCTATCGGTGTCAGATATAGTTAGGGGCACTCCGATACAACGGACGCTACACACCAGTAACCCACCTTGTATTGACGATCTCCTCATGTACTCTTCGATGGGATAGCGGCTCTACCACATGATAGCGGAAGGCGAGGAGATAAATCATAATCAACTCGAAACTCAGTATTCTAGAAGTCGTGATCATATCAAGCACGAAAATTCCACTTTCTTTAGCCGCTCTTCTGATTTTCGATCCAGTATATCACTTCCCGTCGCTCAGCTACTCGTTAGGCCCAATGTAGACAATACCGATTCTGACTATGAAACTCGGTGCTATAGCTCATTCCTGGACGTACTACACTAAGTACGGATAACCAACCATCAACACCGAAACATGCTTGATACGTTTCCCACGTCACGACTCCTCCAGCTGATTCCCTGTCGAACGTTACCTCCCCCTCACCCATACGTGCTCAAAGAGCTCTGCCAGACGTCTGAGGACCGGCCTGGCATGCTCCATATTTTTTGTTAGTTTTGTGGATTGCACGGCCTCAGCACTCATGTATCCGCCTTTGGCAGTACGTATATTCTCCCATGTCCCACTATACCAGCTGCAGAGCTCCTCCGTCTTTATTTGTTGCCCATTGAAGTACGAATGCGCAATCCACCATAAGGACCAGAAAAATGACTCCAGGTCATAGCGGTAAATCGCAGGTGGTGGTGCATCCGACAGTAGTTCTATGGCAAGAAATGGTGTCGCCATTGTTCGATGGGTTCGGATGCTGTTATCCTCATCTTTGATCAGTGGCACCACTATCGCAAAGTCATAATCGATGAGGAAAGGGACGAGTTCGCCACTTGGTTCTTTTCTAACCATGAGGTTCGTCGGATTGATATCTCGATGTAGAATCCGAGCTTTGATGTAAGCCTCCCGATGAACTAAGTGAATTACAATTATACACAGCACCCATTGGAATTGAGTGCGGAGAGCCTTACCTTTAATCAGACCCTTAAACAACGTAAAAAATGTCGTCCACTCTCCAATCGCTAGTGAGGAGAGGCTTCATGATAATTGCGCGATAAATTCGATCGTCAGTGTCGGCATCCAACCCCATAATTTCTTGAACTTTTCCGTGTATCCCATCCCGCATTCTTGCTAGATCCTCAGAACACACAACATATGGCACACCCGGTACCTCCCTTTCATGTAGACGCCTCAAAATATCAACCTCGGATCGTCGATCTTTTAGCTGAGTCGGATACTGATGCCTGCCCCGCATTCGCTAGCATCTCCTTCACCGTAAAAACTGTCGTCCCTGCGATGCGGAAGTCTATCGTGTTACTACGCGCCCAATGCCCTGCACATAGTCTTACCTCT